TCTGCATAATAATAGCATTTTGTTAAATCGTGAAGAGACATACTCCATAGGCTATCAATATGCTTGTATATGCACATTTTGGCTTTGTCAATTGCCTCGGCCCTGAATCATCACCTTAATTGTACAGTTGCATCACTGAATCCTGCTTAAAGGCATATACTCTGTTGCCTTTTCCATAACTTATCACAATATTTTGACTTTGCGTCACGATATACTTGGGTCTTATGTTACGATCACGTAAATATATTGATTTATGCGAATCTCAAGAACTATTAATTTGCATGAGAAACACCATTTTCAAGAACAATAAAAAACTTAAGCATAACTATTTAAATTTTATTCCCATAATGTCGATTTGCATTACAAATTCTGACACATGAACCCGAGGTCTACCAACTCTAGTTTGGTAGATCATTTAATGATGTTTTACCTTCCATTTCGTTTGAAAAAGCGGTGTAAGAAGGATTTACTAAATACAATCATAACTAAAAGATAAATCTCCCTCAGTTTCCGGTGAAACGAATTTACAATTCCTTTTCGTTAGCCTTTTTAAAAATAGGTGGAAATGAGTTTGTTTCAATTCCATCTTTTATTTACCCTATTCCATACATTAGTTTCTTTTTTGTTCAGTGTACATTCAATGCGATAGACAATATTAATTCTTATACTTTGTTAATTTTCTCAAGCCCTATAACCGCGACAATTAATCACGCAAATAATTCCGGTGTTTTTTACTGCTCAGGCGAATATGCGCATTATTTAATTTATTTAGGCAATGCACGAATTCTGTGCTATTGTTGATGTAGCTTTTTTTTCACTTTTCTGCATCTTTCTGTAAATATACTTATCGTACTCCGAGTTTATTTGTTTTTTTGCCATGTACTTGCTTTTCTATACAGAAATTCTCTCTTGCCATAACATTATTCTCATTCCATTTACCTAAAACTAATACAATTAATTTGACCTTGCTTTGTTTTATGAACTCCCCTATTAAATCTTTATTTGTGTAAACAATAATTTCCAGTAGTCTATTTACTCATCTTACTTTTAAGGTATGGCATCTTCAAAACCTAATGCTTCAAATCGGACTTTTTATTAAGTAATAAGAATAATATACAGATCAATAATTATTTTCCTCTATTTCTTTTCTGAATTTTATTTATTCAAACTAATTTCCCTATATTTTTTTTATAGCTTTACTTCTGGACCTCTAGCCCTGCTCTTCCCGCTAGCGCCCAAGGTTTCCAGCCTATGCCAACGGTCACAATCCGTCCGGCAGATGACCATCACTTGCCCACTGCTAATACATGCATCTCGCGTCTTTATCTGCCTCTATACTCGTCAAAACAAATTCTTAAAGATAAATTGCTTCAGGCGATTCAAACAAAGGGCTTTGGATTCGTTTGAATTT